TTGGGGGGGGGGGGGGGGGGGGGACAATTGCCCCCTGGGAAAGAATTTGCCCCCCCCCCCAGTAAAGCCATTTCTGCCCCCGAAGTACGAAGCAGAATTGCTCATGATTGCTGTCAGAATTGCAGTTGATTTACTTGATAATGAGATTATGCCCTTCCATAGCCTCCTCCACAGCCATCTTGTGTGTAACTCATATTGTTCTTCACCGAGTATTTCATAATAGCGATAGATTTCATGCAAATGCTAGCCTTTCCAAGCCTTGCGACTATTTCCTAGCACTCTCCTCCGCAGAAGCGTTGTGTTTTGTTTTGGGAGGTTTTATTGCAAAGTTTTTTTCTTAAAAATATCAAGTTATATTAAGAGCACCCACCCCCCAATCGCCACAAAAACCATTTTCTCAGAAAGTACACGTTACATGCTCGAAGCTGAAACTGATTAAGTTCGTCTCGACTGAGGAAAAAGACGATATACTGGAGGAACTTGATTTGTGAAATCTCGTTAAAGAAGTTGTAGATATGGTTCCAAGAAGAATATATTTAGTTTAGATTTTTAACTGTTAAATCCATGCATGCATCATCATAGCATGAATATTTCTTCTCAGACTTATTCTGTATCGTATGAAAAAGCAACGCAATTTTGAGAATGCGGAAATGGTGTCTCATAGAACCAAAAATTATTTAAATGCAACATTTCTGATCAAAATCACATTGGGATCCAGCATCACAGAGAGGAACTAAGGTGACACTGTCACAGACCTCTCAACTCTCACGCATTCGGCGTGAGTCTCACGCAATTCACTTCACTCTCACGCTCTGACGCCACGTTTAGTAAATCTCACGCATATGGCAGTTTCATAGTATTTTTTTCAATAATATAATATTGTATTCTTAAATGCACATTATTAATTATTTAATATACGGATCGCAAATCGAATATATAATCACTTGTTATTGTTCCCTCGTGTTCCTGCATATTTGCCCGCAATTTGGATACAAAATAGTATGCATATGTAAATACGGCGGACAAAAGGCAGAATCAGTCGGAGCAGAATTCTATATGCAGGGCCGTACCAACCGGGGGGCTGGAAATCATTCTTTTTTCAAAATCATGCAGACCTTTATCAATTTTAAACTTTATTAGTTTTAAGCGGCTACATTATCCATGACAAACTGCAAAGAATGAAGATATTACCCACACTTTCCTGCAACTTATCCATTGTATATAATTAAATACACCTTCGCCCATTCAGTACTACGAAATTGTAAATTTCGACATACTAAAACGCTGTTTTCTGATTATCAGAATTCTGTCAAATCTTCCCCAAAGTCCAGGAAATTGCATTTCAGAGACTCTAAATTTAAAAATTTCCTCGGGCCTTCGGTCCTCGCTTCTGGCCCAATAAAAAAGCTTCCTACAGCCCTGATATGTAAATTATCAAGGGCAAATTAAAGCTCATTACTGTATGTCGTAGAAATACAGTTACAGTATTGTAACTAGAGTGCCTTGTCTTAAAGGACGTTATTCATTATGTATTTCATTAAAAAACACCAACTCTCATGTACGAAATTCCATTTCAGACCCCGGACTTTTACAAAGGTGCCATCCACATCCCCAATCTCACTCTTAACTTCTCTGCAAAGTTGAGAGGTCAGCACTGACCCCTCCTCCTATTTTTCAAGGTGACTTTTCCAATTTATTTAATTCCGAATAGAAATGTCTGGAAAAATTCATGTATTCATTCAATCTTCGGAATTCTGCTAGATTTCACCCCCAAAATGCATGAAATTGCAATTCAGGGACCCTAGATTTCAAAATTTTTCGGACCCCGGACCCTCCTAGACGGTCTCACGCCTTCGGCGTGAGGTTCGCCTTTTCGCAATTAAGGTTAGGCTACGCCACTGGTTATAGCTGTACGATTAGAGCTACAAAGCGGTTGAAGTTATTGTTTAAAGCTAGTAAAATGTAGCTGAAGTTAATAAACTAAAGTTTTACAAAATTTCTCTTCAGACTCGCACGTTCGCCAATCCTCGACGGCTCATATTTTTGGTTCTGCCTTTTTCAGTTTATTCCCCAGTGAAAATACCCTAAAAAGGCACTGGTCAGCCCAGCACCAACTGCACGAACCGGCATACTCTACGCGCTGGGGGTGCACTTTTGACACAGAATAAAGATCAGTAACAGAAGGGCCACTCAGCGGTGAAACGTGTCCTCGTTTTTTTATGCAAAATTAAATATGCAGTTTACTGGCCAGAAGGCGGAGCAGCCAGCCAATACAGCGTGTTTATTGGCCAGAAAATCTCATTGACTGGCTAGGAAAATGGCGGCCAACATGCGTAATGCGACATGCGCGATGACAGAAACTTCAAAGCTTTCGACGTAAGTGGCCCTTCTATATGGATCTTTATTCTATGCTTTTGATATATTGGTGAGTGTGACGCATTGGGCTGAATAGAACTGGAACGCTACCTCCAACTGGAAATTTGAAACAAACTTTGACAACCCCAGTTTTTTCTCGCATGCGAATGGCGCTCAATTTGTCAATCATGACGACGTAAACATTAGTTCGAAAGTTAGCCCCCACCTTATCACCCCTCCGCTGATAAACTGTTTTACAGGAAGTACTGATGCGTACTCTTTCATTCACCGCTGACCAACGGTGCTGTGAAAAGGAACGGTTACCAAATCCTTCTTTCTCTTTTATCACCTTGTAAAGATGGTGAGTTTTAGAAATTGTATTTCATTTTAAATCCTTTATAATCTCGAGCTATTATTTGTCTTCAGATAGTTTTGTTATTCCATGAGGATAGATTAATATCTGTACAAGACTCTCAGCAAATTATTGTGAATTATGTGGAATATTTCATCTATATTTTTCAATCAAATATAGACTGCCCGACTGAAAAAAACTCGAAAGCTTCGGGGGCATGTAAGCCACGGTCATGGACGTGTCGGTAAGTTGTAGTTGTTATAATATTGCTCATCTGGTGGCAATCGTGATATTTTTATTGTGAATACTGGCAGTTTATTCTATATACCGGTTTCACATTGAACAGTATAACCCATTTTTAATACAGTAATACGAATTTAAACATTCTACAAAAATTTTAAGTTTTTGCAATGTTTATTTCCAGATTGGTTATAAGTCTGACACCGGATCTTCTTGTTCTACGGTTATAGATCTATGAGTGGGCTAGATATTTGTAGAATAATCAATGCACTTTAAAGCCTGATCCTTGCCGATGCATGCACAAGCATGAAGCATATTATAAAGAAGGATCAAAGTATTGATTTCTTATGCACTGTCCTCACTACGATGCAGCACAATGATCTATTACCACAGAACAAGAAGGCCTGGTGTTCGGCCTATAATGACGGCATTATTTTAAGCAGTTGTTGCTTGTCATTTTAAGCGTGCAGCATAAGTGAAAAATTTTGGTTTAGGCTTCAATTAAAATGATAACATTTTGGCTGAAGCACTTTGAAATATTAGCCTATGTAATGCATTGAACAATTGTAAATCTGATGTTTGTGATGTTACTCTGAGTGTATATCCACACCGGACAAGCTTGAAAAATATGCCTGGCCAGGGTGGGAATCGAACCTACGACCTTTGGAATACTAGCCCACAGGCCTCGAATTTCCCTGAAATCAATTGACGGCAATGACATTAAAAATTGCTGTAGAAGGTAACAGCTAACAATTTTGGCAGTTTCCACGGCATTTTTCAAATTACTGTAATAAAAATTTAATTTTATTGTTATTTTGGATTGTTGACAAGCTAGAAACATGTCTGCGTATTTCTTTAGTGTTTTTTCGAAGAAAACTGAGACTAAAATAGTGATTTACGCATGATTTGATCAACATCTGAATTCAGGTATCAAAGTTGTAATGCACAGTGAATAGTATAAAAATGGCACTATATATTTTGTTCTCCCTCTATAGCAATTGCCGCGATAAAATTCAAGCCCTGCTAGCCCAATGCTCTGCCAATTGAGCTACATGGTCAGCTCGGTTCGAGTATGTGATATTTCGGAACTGAGTCTAGTTCCTTCAATATCAATGCAATCTAGTAATATGATTTTTGGTTATTAGATTACATTGATATCGATGGAACTACATACTCGAACCGACCTGACCGTGTAGCTGAGTTAGCAGAGCATTGGGCTAGTATTCCATTTAATGTTGTAGGTTTGATTCCCATCGTGGCCAGTCATATTTTTCAAGCTTGTCCGGTGTGGATATATAACACTCAGAGTAACATCACAAACATCATATTCACCTGAGTACATAACACCAACACAGAAAAAATTGTAAATCTGTTATATTCTATTTCCAAATTGTTAATTTCATAAGGTAGATGATTGTATGCCTAGTGAATGTTTTGACACAGAAACATGACACTCTATGCAGACCTCGAAATAAATCTGGACGTTATACCGGTCATGATAAGTGGTGGATCACTAAATTTACCGGTCAGAACGGAATTTATGCCGGCCATTGTCACTCCTTAGCTTCTTTCCCCCCTCATCTTTCGCATGATTCGTGACTTTAGAAACAATTGTCTATTTTGAATTGCATTTGTAGCTATTAGGGGTGCACCGAAACTAGTTTTTTAAGTTCCGGCCGGAACCGGATCCGACCGGAAGTTCCAGCCGGAACCGGAACTAATTTATTAAGCCATATATAGTCATATGTTACTTTGTCCGCTGCCAGACAGGCAGACACTTCAAGTCATAAAGGAGAGAGCTCGCAAATGTTAGAATAAAAAGATTGACAAGCGTTAAACGTCATAATGAAGTGTTAGTAGTGTACATTTCCCTTGCGTAGTCCAAATTTCTTCCTACTGTGACCTTTTGTTAGACACAAAAACGTTTGATATTCTATCTCTCTGAAAACAACAGAGTTCCGGTTCCGGCCATGCTTTTTTTACTAGTTCCGGCCGGAACCGGAACTCTAAAAAATCCGGGTTCCGGCCGGAACTAACCGGCCGGAACCGACTTCCGGTGCACCCCTAGTAGCTATACAAAGTAGAAGTAATTACAGCGCAATTTACACATGAATATTTCATTTTTGGACGCTGACAAACAGAGCAATTGTTTGCCATGCTTGCTAGTTTTAACTTAGATAGAGTGATAGAGTGATCCACCACTTATCATGACCGGTATAACGTCCAGATTTATTTTGAGGTCTGCATAGAGCTCTACTTGTCATGTTTCTGTGTCAAAACATTTACTAGGCACACAATCATCTGCCTTATGAAATTAACCATTTTACCTTGTGATTTAAGACTTAAAAGTCTTAAATCACAACTGTAATTTGAGTTGCAAGCATGCTGTAAGGATGCATCCCAGTTACGCGTTTTTCATATAGCTACGTGCGTACGTAAAAGATGAAATTGTTTTACATCCTACTTATGAAATAAATAGAGAATAATACATGGGTGGGCGGAAATACCAGATTTATTTCGAGTGTTGGACATGATATCTCACAAGTGAGCACAGCGAACGAGTGAGATATCATGGTCAACATGAGAAATAAATCTGGTATTTCCAAGCACCCATGTATTTTTCTGTTTATTATATAAAGGACAGTCTTTGAAAAGCGATATTTTTTACAGAAAAGCGATAATTGAAAAGCGATAATTTTCACATGTAAGGTTATCATGATTAATCTCACATGTGAGATTATCACTTTTATCAGTGCTCGACATCTCTATAAAGCACTGTACTTTATATAATAATTGCATTTATAAAAGGACAGCATTCAGTTTTGTGTATGATTTAATGTGTATTTGTTAACTAAAGGTTATTTGCACTAATATGAAAGATTTAAACCTTTCGGTAGCACATGTGAAAAACATGTAACTGGAAAACAGCCCTTAGGCACAATACTTGCGGTATATTGGATCCGTACGACAAAATGTGTAACTTCGCCACCCTTATTAGCCTGTGGACATTCACTTCTTTGGAAACTTGGAAATGAACAATCTGCTCCATTTTTGAACGTACTTTTTTATTAAAAACATTAGTGGTCACGCATGTCCGCCAGGCGACAATATTTGCCTGTCAAACTGTGAAATTTTACCGGTCAGTGACCGGCACTTATTTCGAGGCCTGCTCTTTTGGGAGAGGGGATGGATCCACATTTGGTACTATTGCATACATGTGTAGGATTGATTTATGTACAGAGTGTCATATAGATGCCGACGCTTGATTGCAGATTGTGTACAAACTTCATCGAGGTTCAAAAGTGGTCACAAGGGGCACAAAAAGGTTATCACATGGTACATAAAATCATAATCGCTAGGGCCAATTTACCATTTTAGCTGTTTCGATAGCACCTAAGATAATACAGAGAGTACTCTTTTTACCCTATCCCAACACATACATTTCAATGTCGAACCTCTGCAATGATGATCAGTGCTGGATCTATTGTCGACATTTTAAAAAGTGTACATCTGTAATTTACTCCGAACCCACAACGTTTGGTTTGCTAGTCTAGTGCTGTACCAACTGAGCTGCGAGGTCAAGTCAGTTCGAGTGGGTGGTAAATTTGGAACTCAGTCTAGTTCAGAGGGTTTAAATTTCAGAATCTTCACAGAGTGACGAAGCAAGTGGTAACGTTGCCACCACATAGCCAGTCACCTACTTAATTCTTTCAAAATGCCTCCTAGTTCAAATTATGTTGAGAACCCTGCCCACTGTACGATTTGTATGCTGTGCAAGTGTGGAAATTATGGATGACAGACTGGTAAATGTTTTTAGTTTACAACTGAACACTCAGTGTCATTTCAATCTAGGTAAACATAGAAAACATCCTGGTGGTCGAGGTAATGCTGGTGGTCTGACACATCATAGAATCAACTTTGATAAATAGTAAGTGTACTCAGTAGTGTAATAATTTTTATAAAATAACATGTATATAACGTGTGCTCTGATTGGTTGAAACCCGTGTTTGGATCAGGCCATCCAAACACGGAAATTTAAAGTGCCTTCGCAGGAATTTTAAACTTTGTTGTTATTTTATAATTAAACAAATACTTTATGGTTTCTGTGTTTGGATGGCCTGATCCAAACACTTGGGAATGTTGCTCGGGTTAAGAAAAGCGCGCAAAATCACTTGCCTTTGGCTCGTGTTTCGCGCGCTTTTCTTAACTCTCGCACCATTCCCGCGTGTTTGGATCAGGCCATCCAAACACGCAAACCATAAAGTAATTGTATAATACTAAATTGACCTTTGATGAAATCTTACACAATGACAAAAAATGGTGTATTTAGTTTTGATGAGTTAATGAGTCCTTTCAGAGAACATCCATACATACATGTACTTCCCCCACAGGTACAGGGGAAATTCGGTTTTTGAAAAGTTTAAATTCCCCTTGTACTTTCAGGTAGTTGTATCCCCATCGAGCCAAAAGCTTTCTTATTATCGGCATTACCTACACTGGCACTGACCATTCAAGTAGTCTCAAGACCTGTTTACACTTGCAATATTTGCTGCAATTTTAGGTCCGATTCTCTTCTGATGAATGTGAATGTGTAGATAGGTGAGCAGGCCTCGAAATAAATCGGGGCGTTATACCGGTCTAATTGTCCGGTGGATCACAAAATTTACCGGTCACAGCGGAATTTGTGCCGGTCATTGTCACTCCTTAGCTCCTTACCCCTCATCTTTCGCGTGATTCGTGAGTTTAGAAACAATTGTGTATATTGTATTGATTTGTGTACAAAGTAGAAGTATGGCATTCGTCAAAGCTGTAGTAGTAATTACAGCGCAATTTACACATTAATATTTCGTATTTGGGCGCTGACAAACATAGCAATTGTTTGCCATGCTTGCTTGTTAAGTTGCAAATGACAACTGTAATTTGAGTTGCGAGCATGCTGTAAGGCTTCATTCCAGTTACGCGTTTTTCATAATTCACGTAAAAGTTGAAATCTCTTTACATCCAGGGCTGCAAATAAATATTTGACTTGACAGGACATTTGTCCGATCACTTTTAATTTTGGTCGGACATAACTTGAATTTGGTCGGACAAAAACCAACGCCACTAAATTTGGTTGGAAATATATACGCCACAAGATATATATAAGTCACAGGAGACAAGTATGTAAAGTCATTCCAGCGCAAAGTTAAGTAAAATGCTAGAATGCCTCGTAAATTTTATTGCAAAATGCAAATTGACTGAATTTGCAATCGGATTTTGTCACAGCAAAAAAATGTATAATGTGACAATTTTTTTGTGATCTGACCAATGTCCGATCAAAATTACTTTTGCTCGGATATTTGCCAAATTTAGTCGGACATTGTCCGATGTCCGACAGTAATTTGCAGCCATGTACATCCTACTTATGAAATAACTAAATTTATTTAGTATTCAGTTTTGTGTATTTAAACTTTTCTGTCGCACATATGAAAAACGCGTAACTGGAAAACATCCCTTAGGCACAATACTTGCGATATATCGTATCCGTACGACAAAAGTGTCACTTCGCCGGCCTTATTAACCTGTGCCGAAAATCAACTATCAAACTTGGAAAATCAACAATCTGCTCTATTTTTGAACGTACGTTTTTGTTTAAAAAAATTACTGGTCACGCATGTCCGCCAAGCGACGATATTTGCCGGTCAAACTGTAAAATTTACTGACCGGCGAGGCCTGGAGGTGAGTATATGTACCCTCATCTGAACATTTATGGAGCATTCACTAGTGATTGACCGATTGCGTCACCATCTGGATTTACCGATTATTCGTGCAACACTCTTAACCGATACCGATTTTTTTATGACGTCATAATATGATCAGTTGATTGAATAAAGGTGACATCATTCATTTTGATTTGTGCAAAAATAAAATTGCACACTTTTGGTTGTTGAAAAAAATCAGTTTATTTTTGTCTCTTGTTTCAAATGCTTTCATTGGTCAATTATTTGCTTGGCTTGCTCCGCACCTAATATGCAGGCATACTATGGGCCGCACAAGAAGTTAAACATTTCACACTTGATTTTCGATTTTTTTATAGAAAAGGGACAGATTCAAGCGCTTGTATGTGCATCAATGCGCGATGTATATAATTTTTACAGCTGTGAATTTTCTCAACAATCGGTTGTACACAATCGGGAAATACATATGTAATACTACCGATGCAGATTGTCTACCGATAAGGCAAAAATCAGCCCGATACCGATTATCGGGCAATCACTAACATTCATGACCCAATACTCGTCACTCATTCATATGCATCAGAAGAACAAAATTGCACTGTAACTCGCACTGAAAATTGCAGGTGTAAACGGGTCTTAAAGTAAATTGTATAGAGTGCATTATGGCTTAATGTGCTGCTGAATTATGGCTTAATGTGCTGACTGCAGAATTTTAATAGGTTGTGCTGATTATGTTTTCTAGCCATCCTGGTTATTTTGGCAAAGTTGGAATGAGATATTTTCACTTGACCAGAAATAAATACCACTGTCCTACAATCAATTTGGACAAACTGTGGTCTTTAGTAAGTGAACAGACCCGCGAAAATTACAAGAAGAAGACAGACGGTCCTGCTCCCGTCATTGACGTAGTGAGAGCCGTAAGTATTGTGCAGACCTCTAACAATGGAATATGGATGTTTCCAGCTGTAGACGATATTTTGATCTAGACAAGAAGAACGAAATCCATTACTGTAGCTGGAAAGAGCATCTTAAAATGAGTAAAATTGCAAAGTTTGGTTGCGAATTGTTATAAAATGAGGAAAATACAGCCCTGTGAATTCGCAAATTTTACATATATTTGCATAACGCGTGGGAAAAATAACCATTTTTCAGCCGAAAGTGGTTATTTTTACCGCGCCTAATACAAATAATGACAACAGTCCTTTAAACTCCCGAAATTCCAGGTCGGCAAGAAATTGCCGACCTAAAAGCAATAATTCTCAATCTAGGTCGGCAAATATTTTCAAAACAAATAGACAATATCCAAATGAAAATTTAATTTGCTTGCTGCAAATACGCGTTTTTAACAAACAGCAATTAATTGCAATCAATGCCAATAGCAAACAAAACGATTAACAAAATGTGTGAACTCCAATCGAACAGTGCAAGTTGTGACCAAATGTTGTGACAGACCATACACTACTTTATTACCAGGCCAAAAAAAAATGTGGGTTTCCGGTTTCTTCTTATAAAAGCTTAGATAGGGTAGGTCGGTTTTAACTTTTTTTTTAATTTTTCGAACAAGCGGACGCCATTTTGTTTAGTCAGTGCTTCCACATCCAAAGATAAATTTCCCTAATATTGCCTCAAATTTCAATTTTCCACAAATTTTTTCCTCTAAGTGGAAACACTTACAAGCATGATCCAATAAAAAAGTTTAGGGTCGGGATTTCGACGTCCAAAAGCTAGGTAGGGTCGGGAAACCGGAAACCCACATATATTTATTTGGCCCCATGTACTTTCGCTTAAATCTTGAAGCTGGACGATTTTAACACGTATAAGTATCACCTTTCAACAATGAAATTGCAATGTTTACACAAGGATTAAATTTGATACTCGCAAAGCGACGCAAGCTTATGATCAAAACCTGATAATTTAAGCATCATCGTTGAAAATGCCTATGTGTCACTATGTATGTGAAAGATGCGTTCGCGGAAAAAATGCCGATACGTATTTGAAAGTAGGTCGGCAAAATTTTGCCGACCTAAATCTACACATATCGCTTTGATCGGCATTGCCGATTGCCGACCTGAGTTTCAAGGACTGTACAAAATTTGCGAACTTCACAGGGCTATATTTTATTCATTTTACTACATTTAGCAACCAATCTTTGCAGTTTTACTGATTCTAAGACGCTCTTTCTTGTGGTGTGGGATTTCGTTGTTCTTGCCTTGTCAAAATTTAGCTGGAATCACCCATTGTAGGCTGTTAAATTGCAATACCATGTGCAAAAACTCGAAATACTACCAATACTTTTTCATTGTCTTTCGTGTTTTATAAATTGATTATATATAATATAGCATTTGTAAATTCTGAACGCTGATTGGCTAAGAGCCGTGTTGATATAACTCCATGTCAACACGGGAAATTTTCCGCCGCTTGTAAACACGGAAATTTTACTTATTCTTCGGGCTTTTTACATTGCTATATTATAAAACAAATATAAAACATTTTTTCCGTATTGATATGTAGTTATATCAACACTCGTGGAAGTTGGGAAAACTCAAAATTGTATGAAAACACTCCGCCCTTCGGGCGTCGTGTTTCCACACGATTTCTCGTTTTCCCAATTTCCACTCGTGTTGATATAACTGTATATCAACACGGAAAATGTTTTATATTTGTTAATTTGAAAATGATTAGAACTCGTATTGAAAATGTTATATAAACAAAGGAAATTAAACGAGAAATAATATGCTGATTGTCTAACAGTTCAAGAATATGGAAATCAATCTCTAAAAGTCACACAGTAAGACCTCGCGTATAAGAAGCTGGATTTTAAGAACCTGTTATGCTAAAATAGCTTATTTAGACCATCTTTATATAATAACCTGTTCAGGCTAAAATTTCAAACCGTTTTTTTATTTTTATCACTCTAAGAGTTGAAACCAAAAATTTATAAATCAAAGAAAGTAAACTCTTCACAAAGTAATGAAAATGACCCACAAGTCACAGTCCTGATTACTGTGTGTCATAACAATAAACATGTCTGTTTGAACATCAACAAAATATAACTGCACCTACACTAACCGAAATTCAGTCGCTTTTTCTTTAGAAAATAAGAACCTATTTAGCCTAATTTCACGATAAGCACCATTTATACAAGAACCTGTTTAGGCTAACTTGAAAAATCTAGGTTCTTATACTGCGGGGTCTTACTGTATAACTTCAAGAATCTTTGGCGATAGAAAATCGCTAGGCACCCAAATATTAAATTTGCCCTGGGACCCCAACTTTCTCTATGTGGCCCAGCTTGCTTTTCCCGCCTGAGCGAGTAACCCGCCTCAATGCTAACCGTCCTAACAGAGAACTTATTTTCTAGGGCTATTATAAAGTTCTTGGTAAAGGTTTACTGCCAAAACAACCTGTGATAGTCAAGGCTAAGTTTTTTAGCCGCAAGGCGGAGGAAAAGATCAAAAACGTCGGTGGAGCATGTGTGCTTGTAGCGTAACTGAAATAAATATTCAATTCAACTTTTACTGTGTGCTTTTTATCTTTTTCTTTGTGATATGTTTACAACACGCTCTTGGTTGGACGAATTCTATTAAGAATGGTTTAAAGTGAGAACAGCCGTAGGTAAAAAAGCAGTGTTTTGGGCTATGTTCAAAGCCTGAAAGAAAGGCTGCTTTTCAGTTAATGGACGTTTCCAGCCATAGACTAAATTTTGATCTAGGCAAGAAGAACAAAATCCATCACCACAGCTAGAAAGAGCATCTTAAAATTAGTAAAATTACAAAGTTTGGCCGCGAAATGTTGTAAAATGCGGAAAATATAGCCCTGCGAAATTTGCAAATTTTGTATTAATTTGTATTACGCGTGCGAAAATGCACCACATTTGGGCCGAAAGTGGTGCATTTTACCGTGCGTGATACAAATTAATACAAAATTCCCCAGGGCTATATTTTCTGCATTTTACAACATTTCGCACCAAAACTTTGCAATTTTACTTATTTTAAAAAACATGCTTTTCTAGGCTGCGGTGATACATATATATACATACATACATAAAAATTTATTTAAACACGTTAGCCCTAACATCTTTTGATGGTTTCCATAGGGGACGTGTAAGAATAAGACCAATACATATACATAATACAAACTATTTACGTGATTATTATTTAGACAATTAACAAACATTAAATAAATAACAAACATACAAAACTATTTACATACTTATTTTAGAAAATGTAGCTTCATTAGTCTTTTGAAACAACTCATAGAATTGGATTGTGATGGATTTTGTTCTTCTTGCCGAGCTAAAAAATTTAGTCAATAGGTGGAATCTTCTATTAAGCGTTTTCATTCGTGTTTAAATCTATCTAAATTTTATATAAAAACTTTACCTGCTCAAATACACATAAATTATACAGGAAACTAAATGCTGTCTTTATTCAGTGATTTTATTAGTATAATTCAAATGGATTTATATTTTTTCCGTCCGCGCAGGTATGAAAAGCGTTTAACTGGAAAGCAGTCTTAACTAGTGTTTTCACTTGTTTCTATCTACCAAACTGACGTTACTTCATTTTTCGCAATATTACACTCGTGTATAAAAATTCCACTCGAAATTGCCATCTACAAATTAGAGGTCTGCATGCATGGGATCGGATTGGACGTTTATAATCTGACAATTGCCTAAAGTTTAAAATCCGATCCGAAATTGTCTAATCCGAATTCGATCCGAGTTTTGATAAAGAATTGCAATCCGATCCGAAGAATTCTTTAATAAAACAATTTCTCATTCAAGCACAGGCGGCCCAATCTCAGAATGAATGATCAGGTGTTGCGGGTTTTTAACGGTTTTTATAAACAAATTTATAGTCAACCAAAACTATTTTAAAAACATTTTTAAATTAGTCAAATAAATACATTTTAACAATAAAATATAGTTGACATAATAGTATAATACCTTTGCATTCTTTTAATTACTCCATGAGCTCATTTAGAGCGGTTGATGTAACATTTTCTGTGCCCTACATTGTGTGTGCTCATCTATATATAATATAACAGTAAAAGGCTAATCACTGCCGGCACGACCGCATCGCCTTCAAAGTCAAATATCTCCGCTCAAACTTCTCGTACGCCAAAACTAATTCGATTACATCTTTTCACAAAGGTTTCTCTTTCTAAATAACATGGTTTGATCGTAGCTTGGGCAAATTTAGCGACACACGGAGCCAAAGTCTCCTCAATTTCGGATACTGTTCAAAATACTTAGGGCTGCTCGGGCACGATCGTGGACGTGACGTAATCAATAGATACTGACAATAACGCCTTACCACCTTACGTGGGGTGGGACAGCATCAAGCGACAAACTATCGTCGGATTTGATATGCTGTCCCACCCCGGGTAAGGCGTTATTGTCAGTATGTATTGATTACGTCACGTCCACGATCGTGCCCGAGCAGCCCTAAGTATTTTGAACAGCATCCGAAATTGAGGAGATTTTGGTTCCGTTCGTCGCTAAATTTGCCCAAGCTACGATCAAACCATATTATTTAGAAAGAGAAATCTTTGTGAAAAGATGTAATCGAATTTGTTTTGGCGTACGAGAAGTTTGAGCGGAGATATTTGACTTTGAAGGCGATGCGGTCGTGCCGCCAGTGATTAGCCTTTTACTGTTATATTATATATAGATGAGCACACACAACGTAGGCCACAGAAAATGTTACATCAACCGCTCTAAATGAGCTCATGGAGTAATTAAAAGAATGCAAAGGTATTATACTATTATGTCAACTATATTTTATTGTTAAAATGTATTTATTTGACTAATTTAAAAATGTTTTTAAAATAGTTTTGGTTGACTATAAATTTGTTTATAAAAACCGTTAAAAACCCGCAAAACCTGATCATTCATTCTGAGATTGGACCGCCTGTGATTAGATAAGTAGACTGACCTCAAGTATTTTATAATTAACTGTTTTGTTTGTACGTAGCTAGGGGAACATTGATTGATCACGTGATTTGTGCTTTAAATATTTATGTAATCTAGTTTTTAGTTAGTTGAACAATTATGGTGTTGGGTTAAATAAAGGGAAAATCATAACTATTATCACGATTCATAACATGGCGCCCAACGTGGGGCACGAATTCGCGTTATTACGATTTACGATACAAGTTAGAGATAAAAAAATGGATGAACAAGCGAAAGCTAAGTTAGAGCGTTTGAAGGCGATTAGAGCCGGTCATCGTGATGTAGTGACCAAGGCTATCAAGGAATGTGACGAGATTCTGGGTACCACACCTATTAGTGAAGAAAATGTAAGTCGATTGGAAATATTGGATCAACAATTACGAAGCAAATTATCTACGCTCAAAGATCTGGGTGAAGAGTTTCTTGCGATATGCGATGTTAAGGATATAGAGCAAGCCATAATGGAGTCCGAGGAAATCGAATTCAAATTAATCGACAAGACGAAAAAGATCGAAGCAACGTTAAGTTCTAGACAACCGCAAAATACCAACGAAGCATCGATCAGCCATTGCGACCGATTGCGACAAGTGAAATGCCCCAAGAAAATACGATTGCAACTAATACACAAGAAATCCCTTCTTCGACACCCAATGGCAATGTAAGTGCGAGATTACCAAAGTTAATACTACCCAATTTCAAAGGAAAATCAACCAAATGGCAATCGTTCTGGGATTCTTTCAAGTCTGCCATTCATGAGAATACGACTTTATCACCGGTTGAAAAGTTCAACTGTTTAATTTCGCTACTGGAAGGAACGGTTTCTCGCACAATACAAGGTTTGACACTCATGCGGCTATTGAATTATTGAAGGAACGTTTTGGTCAGCCACAACAGATCATATCGGCTCACATGGACGAATTGTTAAAGATTCAAGGTCGCAACGATTCTGATCGATTTTATACTTCACTACGATATGTGTATGACAAGATAACTGTTCATGTTCGAGGTTTGGCGTCTCTTGGAGTGGATTCCAAACAGTATGGCAGTTTACTTATACCTATTGTGATGGCTAAACTTCCGAGCGAATTACGACTACGAATAGCAAGAGTTGCGAAGGGAAATGTTTGGAAAATCGACGAGCTACTCGACGTGATCCGTCAAGAAGTTGAAGCGAAAGAAATTAGTGAAAGAGTAAGGGCTACCGATCAAAAACCGTCAACTTATCATCGTAACCGACCGTCAACCGCTAGTGCATTGCTTTCGAAGGCTGAACCCAACGACAAGGGAAGCTCGGTAATCAAATGTGTATACTGCGAGGCTCCACATTATTCAGCATCGTGCGCCAAGGTAACCGATACGAAACTCCGAAGGAACATTTTGTTCGAATCCAAGAGATGTTTTAAGTGTTTGAAACCGGGCCATCAAGTAAAGGATTGTCGAAAGCCTAACGGTTGTCGAAGTTGCGGAGGTCATCACCATCAGTCTATTTGCTCGAATGCAAGTATCGGTAGTAAACGCCTAGTAGTAGAAGTACACCTGAAATTGTGCAGTATCGTTTTAATCGCCTGGTGTTTGGATTACGACCATCCCCCTCTATTTTGGGAGCCAGTATCAAACATCATCTGAAACTGTACAAACGTAGTGAGCCTGAATTAGTGGAATTAATCGAGAATTCATTGTATGTAGATGATCTCGTTTCCGGGGAATTAAACGAAGAGAAAGCGTATGAGATCTACGAAAAGTCGAAGAAAATTATGTCTGAAGGTGGTTTTAACCTTAGAAAATGGCATACAAATTCGCGTGAGTTGCGTGAGAGGATTATGCAAGCCGAAAATGTTCATCAACAAGCTCAAATTGTGCCGGTTGGTTCGATACAAGAAGACGACGAATCTTACGCCAAATCTACAACGGGAACAGTAAGTTCTAACACGAAAAATTCTGCGGTAAAGGTTCTCGGACTGAATTGGAACACTAAATCCGATGAATTTTACTTTAAATATGACGAATTGTATGATTATGCGATTAATCTACCGCTCAGCAAGAGATCTGTGCTCAAGGTCACAGCTAAGATATTTCACCCGATTGGTATTTTGACTCCTTTTACAATTGGAATGAAAATTTTGTTTCAAGAGCTTTGTGTTCAAAAACATGAATGGGACGGTGAGTTATAATCAAATTTACTTAAAGCATGGAAGTCTTATTTGTGTCGGCTTAAGCAGCTTTGTGATATTAAAATACCACGGTGTTACTTCTCATCAGTACCGAAAGAAATACAATATCATGCATTTTCTGACGCGTCTAAGTTGGCTTACGCTGCTGTTGTATACGTGCGAACTTGTTACGAAAACGGACTGATTGACGTAAAATTAGTTGCTTCAAAAGTCAAGAGTCGCACCCTTGAAGACCCAGACGATTCCCCGCCTAGAGTTGTTAGGGGCATTAATCTTAGCTCGACTTGTGGACAGTCTCAAACGCGCGGGGCTCGATTGTACCAATGTTACGTTTTGGACGGACTCTGTGACCGTGTTATGTTGGATCAAAAACGTGGGAAATTGGAAACAGTACGTTCAACATCGTGTTAACGAGATATGCGAATTAACGAGTAAGCATTCCTGGCGTCATTGCCCGGGAAATTTGCATCCAGCCGATTTGCCTTCGAGAGGAATTGCCGCGAAAGATCTCGCAATTAATTCAACCTGGTGGAATGGTCCAGAATTTCTCCTTCATTCCGAAACAGAGTGGCCTGAAGTTATCAACCCGAATTCCAACGAATTGGTTCTTCAAGAGGCTGTCAAAAATTCGCCAAAGATTACGCATTCCTTGGTAAGTGTTTCTGTCAAGAATCAATTTAAGAAAGTTAATCAGATTATTAATGTTGGTCATTATCGGGCTATCTTTAAAACGGGGAACGGGGAATGGGGGAAGGGAACGGGGAAGGGAACGGGGAAGGGAACGGGGAAGGGAATGAGCGGGGAATGGCCGGGGAATGAGCGGGGAATGTGAGCGGGGAATGGCCGGGGAATGGCCGGGGAATGGCCGAAATCGGGAAAAAACCTAGCGGTTTTGAAGATTTTTGATTAAATATTTTCATGAATTGTTTTCGTTGCGTTATGGCAAATGTAGCAATGAAGTAAATCGAAATTACAGTAATAGGATTAGGCGACCGAAGCTTGTTGTTTGGGTAAATGACGTAGTTCCTTTTGGGAGAGGCCAAGGCTCCCACGCAATTGTATCATATAAGATTGTGCTTTATTTAATAAATGGCTCGCCACTCTGGCTTTGACTCCGCGCACTTGTTTTGCATTGACATTGTGCTCGGCACGTTACAAATATTAAACCATAACTATAGTAGACCCTACTAGACCGCAATATGTAGATGTTTATACGATCTTATCATTCTCATGTTGATTTATTGTTTGGCTTGAATAAACCAATACTTGTCAGTGTTAACTATACAAGTAATCAGCCGATCCGCACATTATAAGCCAATAAAAGTAATGGTATATAACGTAAGACAATTCCATTAGCATATTGGTCATATTGGAATTGAACTTTACACATATTTATACTCCTAACCCACAGCCCCAGCTCTATACACTGCAAATAAATTATTGGATACAATCATACAAATATTTTATTGATACGTTCTTCATATACAACGTGAGGATCGGGTAACAGTATTAATTACAATGTCACTGTGCCGCGTAGCTATAGGAAGCGCGGCGTTTAAAAACCTGGCGAAAATCTGTCATTAAATGTAATTTGTGTCACACAACATTCTTTTAACCTTCAGGTAAATTCTTGCTGTCCAGTTCTATGCTAAAAATTTAATTTCATTTGTAATGATGACATTTCAATCCAGTATTTTTTCGAAATTTGATCTTACATTCTTACTAAGCTTTACATTGTGCTTAGATAGGAAGCGCACATTGAAAACTATGCCCAAAGTGCCACATACTCAAATGACAAAAGGTGAGATAAAATAGTGTAATACGTCAGCAAACAGCTTTTTGTTGCCGACATTCAAAATGCCTGGAGTACAGGGAAGCTTTAAATTTCCTTCACTAATAAAAAGGCGAAAAATAGATCACTGTTTACCCACATTTAGTTTGGAATCACTAAAACATGTTGAAGAAATTGGCAGTGGTGCTTTCGGGGTATCTTAACCTCTCTATTGTTACGTGATACGGTTTTGATCAATCGTCGAACAGAGAAATTGAACTTTGACAAAAACTATATAACAAGGTCTATTGTCTTGCGTTGTACTTACAATGTGTGGTCCGGCTGATTACTTGCCATAACGCAACGAAACGAAACGACATTTACACAAACAACATAGCTTCGGTCACCTAATCCTATTACTGTAATTTCGATTTACTTCAATGCTACATTTGCCATAACGCAACGAAAACAATTCATGAAAATATTTAATCAAAAATCTTCAAAATGTTAGGTTTTTTCCCGATTTCGTCCATTCCCCGTCCATTCCCCGGCCATTCCCCGGTCATTCCCCGGCCATTCCCCGGTCATTCCCCGGCCATTCCCCGCTCCTATTACTGTAATTTCGATTTACTTCAATGCTACATTTGCCATAACGCAACGAAAACAATTCATGAAAATATTTAATCAAAAATCTTCAAAATGTTAGGTTTTTTCCCGATTTCGTCCATTCCCCGTCCATTCCCCGGCCATTCCCCGCTCATTCCCTTCCCCGTTCCCTTCCCCGTTCCCTTCCCCGTTCCCTTCCCCGTTCCCTTCCCCGTTCCCTTCCCCCATTCCCCGTTCCCCGTTTTAAAGATAGCCTCATTATCGTGATCTAACGAGATTATTACGAGTCACCGCGTTGGTGTTGAAATTTATCAAAAGAATCAAAAAGCGTAAGGTAGCTAATACAAATAACAACGAATTGTTTAATCACGGACAGCTTAATTCAGTCGAACTTGACGAAGCAGAAACGACATGGATCAAGGTAGTTCAAGCTAGTTCTTTTACGGCATATTGTAAACACTGGACTGGACTTTGGACTGGACTTTGGACTATGGACTTTGGACTTTCGATTTTGAAATTATATATTTTTTTAGATTTTCGTATAATTATTAATTAAAATCTAAACAGAGAACGAAAACTTGTGCATGGTATAATATTCAAGGTAAAAAATACTATCAGTTATATAGGTATACCAGTGCAATTTCATAGATATAGCTTGTGGGATATCAGGATCATCTCAGTAATATTTTTTATTTAATATTTAAATTTTATTATAATATTTGTATTTATAGTCTGTATAGTACAGTTTATACTGCAGAACTTCTTCTTTATCGTATAGATAATAGATTTATAGAACAATTGTGACAAAAGTATCTTGGCAAATACAAAATATTTAGAAACTACCAGTCACTATCTAAGTATAAACTACACGCGATTATTATTGCGCCTTTGACTTTGAACAATTATTCGCCAAAGGCGAGGCCGTGACTATTGGGGAATTTGTCAAATTTGACCAACTTGACAACTTGTAGGATTTGTTACTATATTTATTCACTTGCGCAAAAATACTAATGACAGTAGGCCCTATTGGTCATCTTTGCATAATAGTTTACACCGGTTTAGCGCCTGCCTAAATAGGCTGTGTTTACAATGTATTTTGTCTGTGTCAGTTTTA